CCCTATCCCTTTGGAGAGCCAGTACTAAGCTATTGGACCTTGTTCCCAGGTTTCCATTTGTGGCTGTAAATTTTACTCTCGAATATGTTATTAAAACTGATATAGGCAACACTAGAAGAAAAGTCAATATAGATGAACATACAGCTTAACTTTAAATGTTTAAGTACATATTATGTGTGGCCACAGGTATAGGAAAAATCGAGAAATTTGATCGTACTGAACTCAGAATTACTTGTTTGTTACTTGCTAGTTAAGATTATTATGTCATGTTGCTTTTAAGGTTTGGGAGCACTGATATACCTGATCTTACTGCCTAGTGGCAGTACCATAAAGAGTATGCAGTTTGAGTTTCAGTTCCAATTTCTCTTTCTTGAATATGTTTACTAGAAAACAATAGAAATGTTTTTCCTTGCAGACATCTGGTATGTCTTTTCCTCCTTTCCCCTCCAGACATTGTACTGTCAGCACATCCTTTTGCAGCTCTTGCTCCCAGTTGTTTCTACTGGGACACTGAATATTACCAGATCTTTCTTACTTCTTGGCTTGCCCCTGCCCTTTTTTCCCCCCTCTTATTGTATGATTCCCCCTACCCTGTACAGTATTTTGTTATATGTAGCTGTTGAAAGAGTTTCTCTTGCCACTGCCCATCTATTTAAGGAAATGTCTGAGCACCCCATTATCCTCATTATAATTGCTGCATTATTTTCTTATTACCTATCCTTATGTCTATTCTTGCTCTGCTGTTTTAATAAATAGCCAGTCAGTGATACAGAAAGGACAGAGATAAATAACAGATGATAGATTTGAGGAGGTAAAGAGTGAAGTTCTACAGATTAGGTTTTCTGTTTTGTTGGTGTAAGGTTTTATAGTTTATATATAGTTTTACTTATTTAGTATATAGTGTAATACCTATTCTGGGGTTTATACTAATAATAAATTAGTGTAGTTGGTTCAATCAGCAATAGCTTGAGACCACTGAGAACTGATGTAATCCACAGTGATAAAGCTACTGGGTAATCAAGAGTGAAATTAATAGATATTTACATATATTTACATTTTTAGAGTTCTTACTGTGTTCTTGCAACTTTTCTGTATGCCAGTTTGCCTCTGGTGAATGACATATTTTATCCATGGCTTTGCAATCTTAGTAATTGGGGGTTTTTTTTGCACAATTATTCCGTTTGATGACTTTGCATTTCTGTAATATTGAGCTTTAAACTACAGTAAACAGACTGAAGTGATGGTAGCAGTAGTTTGTCATTTGTGATGGAGAACCATATCAACATAGTTGAATTTAGTTTGACCTCAATGATCCCCCCCCCCCCCAAATGTCAGTACAAAAAAAATGATCTTGATGTTTTCAGGAGGGATTTCTGTACAAAAGGGAGTCAACCTAGGTATCTGGCTTTTAACATCGATGATCTGGACCAGTAAGCAGTGATATGTATTCTATCTGTGTCAGTCAGAACTGCTTGAGAACCTATATATGTTTTCATCACTGGAGTCCATATTGTTTTTTATTTCAGTAGTTTAAGTCCCCCATCTCAAGTTCAAGGTATACTGCTGATACGGAAAGGTTTGGAGTCACTTTCTGGGGCTTTCCACTAACCTCTGAAATGAGACGGCACTCGAGTCACAGAATGGATTGGTAAAGAACAATTAGATTTTAATGCAGAAAACCCCTAAATGAATGTGACAGCTGAGGACCATGTGTGTTTCTCATCCTACTTCATTTCTTACAATTCATTTTCTATTCCAACTCGAACCTGTAGAGAAACCTGCCTGGTGGATATAAAATAGGCCATCTTTTGGAAGAAGATCAAAAATGTAGACTCCAAAGCAGTAATTGGTAACAGGTGCGTCCCTTCCATTTTAAATCATAGTACAAATGGCCCAGTATCTACTGCAAGGCATGTATAACAGATTAGTTCCTTGAATCGAGGCTGACATATGTAGCTAATAACACTGAGGCATTCCTACATTCGTTTATTTAATAATGTAGAAATAAAAGTGTTTTAAGAGATTAATAAAACAATACACTCAAAGCATAGGTATTAACCAAAATGCTTTGTGAGTGAGCATTTTTAACAGTTTTTGTGGTGAAACTTGCTCGTTTGCCTCATTTGAGGCAAATGAGCCCTTCAAATTGAGGCAAATTTGAAAGAGAGTGTCTGTCAGTTCTAAATTTCCCTCTCTGCTGTTGCACATCTTTATTTATGTTTGAAGTGTTCTCCTTTACTGCTGATCTTGGTGCTTTTTTAAGCAATGAGGCTCAATCCTACTGTCAGTTAAACCAGTACAGCTACATGAAGCATCTGACCCACAGGTCAGCGTTCTGTCCTTTTTGCTCTCATAAAGGACTGATATTATCACCTACAGAAGAATTGGTAGAGAGGGGATGGCGTGCTCATGTGGGAGATCTTTGAATAAAACTCATGTCTTCTTGAAAAGGAGAGGTGAAAATAATAATAAAAATAAATAAATGGATGACTACTAAATATTTTAGAACTTCACCCTGCTCAGAAATTTGCCTTAAGGAAGGTCATCTAGAGAGGAGGTAAGTAGAGGGAAATTCACATGAACTTTCAGTTCTATAGGTCCTTAAAATATGTTTTTCTCCTCCTTGTTCTTGTTTTTAATATAAAATAGGAAAGTTCAGCCATTACTGATGTGAAAGTAGGAAGGAGCATTATATCATCTAGACTGAGAGTGTGAGTGGGACGGTCAGAGGGATTTCATCTATTCTTTCCAATAACTTCTGGCTAGGGCAGGGCATATCTTTCGGAGAGATGTTCAGTCTCAGTGTAAATACGTCAGTTAATGGAAATTATATCACACATGTTCCCAGGTAATTTCAAAGAGCAAGAGAGATTGGATAGTAGTGTTCCTCAATCAACCAGAGAAAAGCATAAAGAAGTAACAGCTTGTAATCAAATACATATATGTAATTTGTGTGTGTATATGCACATGTACGCACACATATGTAAATGGCACTGCCATGAATGATTATCCACTGCGGCGAATTTGTTACCAGCTCCTGGGTAGGATCTATCCCAAATCAAGGCCTGTTGATAGACTGGGGAACAGTTCTATCTCAACACTGCTCCCTGCCTCAACTTTACCCAAACTAGTGTTTTTCCTTTCTAGATCTGTCCCTTTCCACAGTATGTGTGGCTTGGTCTTTTCTCACCTTTTCTTCTTTCTTCACAGATGTTGAAAGGGATCAGAGTGCTCCCGTATATTCAAACCAAGATTACAAACAATACATGCTTCATTTCCAAGAAATGTGAACAGAGTTTAATTGTGCTTCCTATTGTCAGAGCTTGCTCTTTAATTCATGTGTGGTAAAGCTAATTAAATTATACGCTGATAGTTTCAAACCATGATTTATTTTTCTATGTATTTGAAACAAAGTCTTTATGTTGGTGGTTGCAGTTGCCAGCCTTTGTTGTTCTGGGATTGGAAAATTACAAATTTACTTTTCTAAGCTTTTTCCATAAGGAAAGTATGCTTGTAAAATGAAGGCTTGGTTTCTGCTCTCATCCTCCCATTCCAGAAGCTGGAGATATTAAGTAGAATGCCAACTGATATGAGATGCTCTATAAAAATGTGATCATGAAAGGACAGGCATGGATGGAGACGTCTGCTTTATTTTTTGACATTGTTTTCTGAATTGGGAGGAGGACCTTTAGAGCTGAGCGGTTTTCCTATCTGTGCATCACTAAAATAGCTTCAAAAAACAGGAAGAGACAAACTTACTTTTACATGCCTGTCTTCTAACTGTTTGGGTTTTTTTTAGGGGTGACAAGAAAAAAATACCTCCAATGGAAGAAAATGTCAATTTTTGTTTTCCCCTCCAGGTATCACAAAGAAGTACTCCTCCCTCCCCAAGTGTAAACAAACAAATCAACCACAAAAATTCAGCTGATTTTCTTTCTTTTCTTTTTTTTAAATCTTTACAATTATTCCATTTTATGCCAGTGTGTTATTACTGTTTGTTCCTTCTAAAACTTTACAGACTCTTTGAAGTAATCAGTACGAGTTTAGGGGACAAGTGCGTAGCTACTTAAACCTGTGAATTATGATGGAAGACACTTCTATTAAAGTTTATGGTGTGTAGATAAAGGCTTGTAAGATTTTCAATTAACTTGAAGGATTAAAGCATTACAGCTATTGTTCCTGCCTTGTGAGAGGTGAAAAAATGGTAACCTGCTCGTTACATATGGGTAGTATTTAAGCAGAAAAAGCATTCTGTTTTCTTAATACTTCGGGAATGAAATTACTAGTTACTTCTGGGTTTTTGATAGACTCCTAAATAAAGGGGGACCTGCATGAAGGCTTGTGCAATAAATAGAGATAACTATCATGACACTGGAAAACAGATGTGCCAAAATAATACTTATTCTGGTTGATCGTGCATGCAGTATGCATTATAGGTTAATCTGAGGCCAAAAAAACAGAAGGATTAAATCTTTGGGTGCTGTGGGATGACAGGGCAAGAACAGCCTTGTGGTTTTGTTCTGGTATTTAATTGTCTTTTTTTTTTTTTCCCCTTAAAGTTCAATTTATTGTGTGTGAGAGAGAAGCTTCTCCGGGGAGTGATTCAGAGCAGGTGCCTCAAGTGAAAAAATCTTCTATTTAGTTGATAGAAGGAAACTTTGGTTCTTCAGGATGCTGAACATTCTGCTCTGATCTGCTGAAGCATTGAGAGGTGTTTAGTTTAAAGCATTATGAAGCCATTTAAAAGTATAAATGCTTTCCTGGGTTGGCGTCAGATCACAGAGCGACTTACAGGTGGGGAACTAGAGACTAGAGGAAGATTAGAGGAGTAGGAAAGAATCTTTATTGTAAATAAATAATGAAAGGCTGTGGCCAGAGAAGGTAAGATGTTTACAAAGAATAGAAGGAGGTTGTGAAGGAGGAGAGTGTGCTTACATATGCCTATGGCTGTGTATGAGCTTGTTGTGTTGAGAGGGAAGAAAATAGACTATGGAGCATACCTCAGTCGGATTAAAAGGTCAAGAAGAAATAATGACACAAGAGAAAGTTTTTGGAATATTGGCAAAATGCTCTAGGGGAAAAGAATGCAAAAAACAAACAGTTAAATAGGACATTGAAAATGTGTAATAAATATATAGGGGAGATAGAGTGGGTTAAAAAGAAGGTAAAACAGTGTTTTATGTGCTGCAGGAATTCTGACAGAAGTAAGTGAAGACTGTCTCTCCTTTTCAAATGGTGTTGTCTTCATCCCTTCCTATTCACACCTCACTGCACTGTCTGCTAACACCCTCTAGATGGTGTTGGGGGATACCGGCATGTTGAGTTTCTCCTAACTCCATGAGATAGGATAGCTATGTAGTGGTTGTGGAGGTTTTTTTGACATATAAAGTTATTTTTGACAAAGTGTTGGCATAATTGTAGGTGGTGTTTGAGCCAGTGTAGATTTAAACACTTAGATGAGGAAATCAAATACAGTCATGAAGAAAATGGTCTGTTATCCTTTATTTAAAACATTGCATGGATACTGTAGCCTTTTTTTTCATAAGGAGTTAGGAGCATACAGCAGAGTATTTCTAGAGGACCCATCTCTGATGGGGATTATGTAATAAATTTTGACTTGGCTTTTCTTTGGGTCACATGCCTGCATTTCTCAATGGCAGGACACTGCTTCAGAGCTCCGCAGTTTCCTTTTCTTAGCACAGCTAAAAGCCACTACCTCTGCTCTCTGGTAAAGTGGAATGAACACAGTCCTTAAAGAAATTACAACATTCTCTTGTGTGATCTGCAAGTAGTTGCAGCTGCTCTGTTGTTTGGAAAAACTGAACAACCTATCACCCCCCACATACCTGCTAGCAGAAATGGAGTGCCATTGCAAGAGTATTTTTGGCTTCTCATATGTAAGAATGGAAGTCAGTGTGTTAATGTTTGTTTGTTGGTTTTTTTTCCTTTTCTCTGTTTTCTTTGAAAACAAAAATCTTAAATTATTTTTAAAAATACTGAAAGGACAGAAGTTGAGTAGTCATCTTCCTCTTGAAAATCCCAGAATATTTTAAAACATTGTGCAGGACACAAAACATATGGCGTTATCTCTTTAATCATTTTTGTGTGGTGGGGAAATGCTGCTTTGCTTTCTGTGGAGTATATTAAATATGCTATTGTTGCGCAGGCTTAATGTTAACTATGCATTAGAGGAAACAGTGGCAAACAAAAGAGATTGAAACCTGATTATTGCATCATTATTGCATCATTATTCCCATATTTTCATAGGACAGTGCAGTGATGCTGCAATCTCTTTATCATCTTTGTGGCCCCTCCCTGGGCTTCACTGGGAATCCCAGAGCTGGACACCATACTCTAGCTGTGGCCTTACCAGTACCGAGCAGAGTGGAAGGATCACCTCCCTTGACCTGCTGGCAACGGTTTTCCTAATGCAGCCCAGGATGCTGTTGACCTTCTTTGTTGCATGAGACTGGCTCATGGTCCACTTGTCATCCATCTGGACTGTCAGGTCCTTTTCTGCAAAAGTGCTTTCCTGCTGGTCAGGCCCCAGCATACACTGATGCATGGTGTTGTTCCTCTCCAGGAGCAGGATTTTGCCCTTTGTTGAACTTGATGAGGTTCCTGTCAGCCCATTTATCCAGTCTGTCATGGCCCCTCTGAATAGCAG